AGTACAAAGGAATAAAGTTATACCCCTCCTGGCCATTAAGCAGAACTCTTCAAAAAAATCTTCTTGAAATTATCAATAGGTCGAAGTCTCGTGCGGAAGGGCTTTTTCCACAAGTGTTTGCCTTTTATAGGCAGGGCCTCTTAATTCCAACCATTTGGATGATGATCCGGCTCATCGATCGTTCATTTGAGGATCAAATCTGAGCCTCTTAAAACGTCTGTCGCTTTATCTTCTACGGCTCAGTTCAGAGCATCTGCTCCACATGTCCTCGTGCGCCTGAAGTTTATGAAGCACATGGGAGACAGCCATCATTGCACATTATATGTATCGATGGTTGTGTACATAAGAAGTTGAACAGCTTCAGTCGTCTTTTCTTGAAAAAGTTCCATGACAGCAAATCATTTAGGCGCAATAACTAAGGACGCCTCGTATTCCTCAAACATGCTAAAGTCAAGCTCCTCGTAATTATCAATTCTGAGGCCCAATAAGGTCCAGACATAACCCTCTTCATCTACTTCAAATGAAGCTTCAGCTTTGCAAAAGCACTTCAGGCAAAACAACTTCGAAATTTCCCTAATTTGCTGACCTTTTCCCAAATTGTTCCAGAAAGTAAAATAATCTTATACACAAGTCATGCACATTGGATATACTATGGTATGATGTAAACCACCTACTAATAAAAAAATTTATTTACATTCAAGTTCATGCATTACATAAATAAACATGTCTAGCCTTGGGGGACTATTGATATACCTCGCTATCGAGCAAAGTCAAAGTGCCACGTAGCAATCCACATGGGCAGAAAATCAACATAAAAGTCAACAAAGACCTAAGTGGTCAAAATACAAAGAAATTATGCAAAACTACTTAGACACTACTTCAATTAATGAAGCACTACACTTGGGTTAAGACACTGCCTAAAGAAACGAAGAAATGAGCTAAAGCTCTCCACTCAGAGAACCAACTCCGAGGCTCTCAGTTCATCCAAAACTCATAAGCCAACGATGTCTCTTACAATATATTTGAGTATCTTTTAGAAGTGATTGATGTAACACTTGTAATAGAGGATATCAGAGTATCAGTCTATTGTATAGAGTGGCTAATCCCTTGTCGAAGTATTAATTGTATGAATAGACAATGATATATAGTCTCAACTAAGGAGATGATGCCACATGATTCTGATCCAACGGACACCATTATAAATTGATCATATTTGTAACTTAGAAAGGGTTGGAAAAATTGGGGTTAGGATTCTTATCCTTAGATCTTGAACTCTCAGATATGGAATGAGCAAGAAAAATTTACAAATACTCTTACAAGCATTTTCATCTTCATTTTCATCCCGCATTACACACGCTTGGTAGAGAAATATCTTTATAGACAATCTCATAATTTACATACTTGATTGTTTTCTATCCTTCCACATACTCTAGCGAGATCTTTGGTGAGTGGCTTTGGTTCTCGATTGGTGATCATTATTAGTGTGATCATCTTTGTTTTACCCACAGAGCTCGAACATCTTTGTCTCCCATTATAAAGCACCTCCCGTGCTCAAGTCTGTCTCATTTCTCACCGTTTCTCCAGTAGAAACGCGCCGAAATTTGATTGACGTGGCGAGAGTGGGCTCAACATCTGTTGGCTCATTTTTCGGGGTCGACACAATTAATATAATGCATCTTTTCCTGAATCGTGGCAGAATTCAAAGCTCCATTATGCTACATTGAAAATACTTGTAAATTCACTTCGAATTAGACATTCCATTCTAGCAATCACAACTAGATAATTTTGTTTTATGTTCTTTTGCCTACTTAGGAGACTTGTTACTACTATTTTCTTAAAATAAGCCTTGATAGGCACTCCAAAGCCCATTAATGCTGGTAAAAGTCTTTGTCAAGAATCCTCAATTCATCACACTACACCAAAAATGGCATTTTACAACACGTAAAAGGCAACGTTCGTTGATTAAATGTTGCTAAAGGGTCCATCGCAACATTTTAGCAAGTGAATGTTGCATTGACTAATATAATTGAGCTTTTGCAACATTTTTTAAATAAATGTTGCTAATGTCGCATTTTGCAACGTTTTTTAAAAGTTGCAAAAAGTTTAAATTTTTGCAACGTTTTTTGAACGTTGTTGAAATCTGTTTCTATAGCAACGTTCAGGGCATGTTGTTGAAACTCTCAATATAAAGCCTTTTGTAATGTTTATTGACTGTTGCGAAAAGATTAATTTTTGCAACGTTTTTTAATTGTTGCGAAAAGTTCACTTTTGGCAACCTTTTTTGAACATTATGTAACATTTTTTGAATGTTGCGAAAAATTTTGTACTTTTTTTCCCAAATTAAATTGTATGCGGGTTCAAATGATAGAAACCAAAAATAAACCAAACCCTGCGCTAATTCATGCCTCCCTCCTTCATTCATCTCCAACAAAATCCCTCCATTCGCGCCTAGCGGTGGCAACGAGCCGAGCCGGAAAAAAAAAGCTCGGACTGAGCCTGAACTTTTTTGGACCGAGCTTTTTTCGGCCCGAACAGAGCCGGGCCCGGCCAAAAAAAATGAGGCTCGACCCGAGCTTTTGGCCCTAGCCTTAGCGGGCCGAGCCGGCTCGAATTTTTTGATTTTTTTTTTCCTTGAGCTTCCTTTGCACGCCATACTTTTTACTTACATCTTTTGATTTATAATTTTTCAAGTTTCTAAAAATATTTGCATAAAAATCAATCAACAAATAAAAACCAGCACCTAAGCAACCTACTACCAACTGCTGATGTGGAATCATGTTATTGGTTCTTCTCGCTCTGCTATTTTCATTGTCCAGTTATAATCGGACACATCAGAAATATAGAACCCAGGAAGCATGTGAATCGTACCTGATTATTATCTTGCCTTTATTTAAGGCTTGAGAACTATAGAGGAAGACTGGAGAGAAGTCGTTGCTACCATGGCTTACGTCGAGAGAGGTAAATTTCTCTCCTTTTTTTTTGATAACTTGATAATATTTTGTTTAATTATTTGGAATCGGGTGTTATTTTTGCTAATATCGCGTAGAATTTGGTGCTAAGTATTTTGCCTGCAATAGCTTGCTGCTTCAAAAAATTAATTTTTTTTTTATAATGGAGGCTAGCCCGGGCCATGGGCTGGCCCGGGCTTGAGCCGACTCCCCAAAGTGGGGCTCGTTGAGCCCGATTCCACCGAGTCCGAGCCGGGCCCGACCCAGACCGTCCGAGTTTCCGAACTTTTTTGCCACCGCTATTCGCTCATATCTTCTCTCAAATCTCTTTCAATCCCACTATTTCCACTGCCACCTCACTCCCACTTACTTCTTCCTTCCATGGCATCTCACTCAAAGTCGCCACCGCCTGCCCATACTTGTCCTTCACAGCCTCCGCCGACCAGAAGCCTATTGCCATTGTCGTCTCCGCCACCAAGATGGCCGTCAGGGTCCTCAATGGCACCTCCAATGTCGAGGGTGTTGTCGCATTTTCTTTTGCTGCTTCTCTCTGTCGGCATGCGTAACGCCCTCTCACAATTTCTTTGGATTAGAATTTTTTTTTATCAGATTAACAGCAATTTGAGAAATCTTTGTCGAATGCTTAACCTTTTTATTGATTGTAAAACCCTAGAATTTGAGAAATTTGATTTGTATTCGAGCAATGTTGTTATTGATTATCGCCGATTTTAATTATTTTTGCATTTCGTATATGCAGAATTATAACTAGTGAATCGTCGCGATATTTTCTATAATCTCAGAGTATTCTACAGATATTTGCCATAGCCGTGAATTCTGGAAGTGTTTTCGCAATGTTTTCATTTTGTTTTCATTCTGCGCCAATTTAGGCCATCACCTTTGAATTACTTTATTGTACAAAAACTAGAAGTTTCAATAATTTATGAATTGAGGTTGGAGAAATATTGCAAGTAATGTTGATAAATTGTATTAGCCTGTAATTGATTGCTTCTATAAGCTGTAAAGTGTAATTAGTACATGAATTCAACAATTCCGTTACATGTGACTTGTGAAGTTCAATGTTGGAGAACTGAGCTAGTGGATGAAATCAGGATATCAAAAACTTTTTCATGATTATCTCAATCTTCTTTTGCCAGGCAATATCTGATGCAATTAACCAGACCTGGATTTGTTCTGAAAGTGTGAAATTTATACAAAAATTTATACTAGAAGTAGCCATCTGGCTGAGTGGCATATAATTATGGCTTCTATATTCATGGAATTGTAAGAGCTGAATTTTTGTTTATTTTTTACTACTTAGCATGTTGAAGTTTGAATTTATTGAACACAGGAATGAACAGACTAGGCTGATTTGATGTGAGGGTTAACCATATTTTTCAATCTTCTTTTTTAGCTAATAGGATTTATACTTCCAATACACAAAGTATACTTCTATTAGGTAGTGTTCTACTGCACACACAGAGGTGTTATTGTCCTAAGATAACTTGCTTGTTTGATGAAGTAGAGTGCATAACTTCTAATCCACTACTTTATTGCATTTCAAATCTATTTTTCTGCTACCCCTTTGTTTTTCTGCATAACTTCTAATCCTATGGGAGGATTAATCTTTAGATTTCAGCTGTGCAAAAATCTATTTTTCTGCTACCCCTTTGTTTTTCTGCATAACTTCTAATCCTAAGGGAGGATAAATTCTTTTGCACAGCTGGGCTGATTTAAGTGCTGAGGAAATCTATCAGTCTGTAGTCAAAGCTCAACGACAATCTCCTAACTATGCAAGTGTAGTAGGTGTGGGAATACCAAGGGAATTGTGGAATGATTGGTGACTCCTCCAGTTCAAGGCATCCAAAAGGCCAACATTTAATTCAATGTTAGCGGTATTTCTTCTCTACTTGCAAGAGAATCCTCGAAGCCCTCCTGCAAGCCCTGATAAGTAAGATGCTAATTTGATGTATTGTCAGTTTCTCACATTATCCAGAGGTACTCATATTAATTCAAATTTTCGTGCTTTCCAATGTAGCATTATGACCCTTGTTTATGTTGCTGATGCAAGAATTAGTAGTCAGAGATGCCTTAGAAGTGCCTTATTACTTGCCTGTGTAAGTTTGACACTGGTTTTATTAGGCATCCTTGTATTTAATACTTCATAGTTACTGATTGATGACTTGGGTATTCTTTATTTGTCCTATCTAACAAGTAGTGATTTGCCTACAAACCCTGGAATAAATGGGACTGCTCTATCCCCATCAGCTGATCTAGAGGTTCCCCGAGCCAATTCCAATCTTTTACTCCGACTTGTCACAATCTGGATAGAGTTTGGTCAGGCCGCTTTAATATAGACCTTTGTCATTATCTTCCGGATATGAAATCTTTTACATCGAGATTTATTTTCCATCACCCTGTTTTATGCAGAGAGTTTCTTGCGATGACTGCTTCAGGTCAAAATGGCATTTTGCTACGTTCTCTGCTGGAAGCACAGAATGTAGAAGGTCAAACGACTCTCCACCTGGCTTGTAGGCGAAGTAGCATTGAACTCGTTGAAGCTATTTTGGAGTACTGAGAGGCAAATGTTGATGTCCTTGACAAAGATGGCGTTCCTCCTCTTGTGTTTGCTCTGGCAGCTGGATCACGTGAATCTGTCTGGGCGCTCATCAGCGGTGCAAAATAATTTATTTTTTTGGTATATCAGATTTTGACAGTTTTTACAGCTTCCTTCTATTTGGCTGCCCTTGTAGCATCCTTTTTTGCATCAACAATGACCAAAAAATTTGGCCGGAGAAAGTCGATGACGTTTAGTGGAATAATTTTCTTGGTTGGTGCCATCATCAA